GACAAAGCATTCCTGCGGAGAGGAGCGAAGCTTCTCCTGGGGAAGAAGACGAACTAAGTAACAATCGAGTAGCGAATTTTGCAGATTGGTTGATTTCTTCTGATTTCTTCGGATTAAGGATCGTTTCGAGAATCGGTGGTTGGTGAAGAGGAATAGAAAGAGGAAGGTGGTGAAAATGTCAGACCTAGATCGGCAGATAGAGCAGTTGAAGCGCTGCGAACCATTGAGCGAATCGGAAGTGAAGGCTCTTTGCTTGAAAGCTATGGAAATACTCGTTGAAGAGAGTAATGTTCAAAGAGTCGATGCTCCTGTCACTGTAAGTTCTTGCTTAACCTACTTCTCGATCCGTGATTTGGGATCAATCTCCACTTATATCTTTAGAGAATTGGGTTTCGTTTTATCTTGAAAGTAGAACTAAGCGCTTATTGAATCAAGAAATCTGAAGAAATTGGGTGAGGATTTCGGGCATCGTGATTTTGATCGTTAAGCAGAGCTTTTGCCTTTGAGATTTTGGTTCGTAATGGTTTCTCAAATGGTAGTCACTCGTAGGATCCAGTGAATGACTTATTTTGTTGTTTCCACGTTTTACGAGTCAAAAGATTTCAAGGGCAGTGAAGTTACTGCGTGTTAAGTGACTGTAGATAACATTTCTCTTCTTATGATTTGCAAGATTGCTAATCCTTGGAGCTTTTTTTTCTTTCTTTCTATGGAATAGTTATGTGGTGACATCCATGGGCAGTTCTATGACATGATGGAGCTTTTCAAAGTTGGTGGTGATTGCCCTAAGACCAACTATTTGTTTCTTGGAGATTTTGTTGATCGTGGATATTATTCAGTTGAGACATTTTTACTTCTACTCGCACTCAAGGTAACACTCGTGTTTTACATTGTTCTGGTTCATGTTTCTTTTCATAATCGCTTCTGCTAAATGGTCTTTAGAATCACTTAAGTGGGTTGCTTTGATATTCGTAGGTTAGATATCCAGACCGTATAACTCTCATCAGAGGGAACCACGAAAGCAGACAAATCACACAGGTAAATGCAGTCTCATTGAAAATTTGAGTTTGGTGTATATATAATTCAGACTATTTACAGAGTCTGCTTTTAGTAGGTTTATGGATTTTATGATGAGTGTGTGCGTAAATATGGCTCTGTAAATGTCTGGAGATACTGCACTGACATTTTTGACTACATGAGGTATTCATTGCATACATTGCACTTTCTCTGTGTTCAGTTTTTCGGTTCTCTTACTTTGGAAATATGCAGCTCATTAAACTGTCTTTCATATGTACCAAAGTCTTTCAGCTGTAGTTGAGAACAAGATATTCTGTGTTCATGGTGGTCTCTCTCCAGCTATTATGACTCTTGATCAGGTTGATAAAAACAGCTCTCTCTACTGATATAACTAGAAGTTCAACTAGAATGAGTTAACTGACTAACTCATTCATGATACATCTACGGCAGATCAGGACGATTGACCGGAAGCAAGAAGTTCCACATGATGGTGCCATGTGTGACCTCCTATGGTCTGATCCTGAAGATATTGTTGATGGCTGGGGATTGAGTCCCCGTGGTGCCGGATTCCTTTTTGGCGGCAGTGTTGTCACATCTTTTAACCACACAAACAACATAGACTACATAGGCCGAGCCCATCAACTTGTTATGGAGGGTTACAAATGGATGTTCGATAGCCAGATTGTGACAGTGTGGTCAGCCCCGAATTACTGTTATAGGTAAATCAGATGCCCAGAACCGTCTATTTCAGTCTTATATTTTCTTTCTTTTTAACTTGATTTTTACACTTGCTTCTGTTTTGATTATGCTCCAGATGCGGTAATGTGGCTTCGATTCTAGAGCTCGACGAGAACCTAAATAAAGAATTCCGTGTGTTTGATGCAGCCCAGCAGGTATGACCCTTTTAGTAATATGTTACTTCCCAATCTAATTCCCAGTGAGCAGTTCAGTAGATTGACATTCTAATTGCAGGACTCGAGAGGGCCTCCGGCCAAAAAACCCGCCCCTGATTACTTCCTATAAGTGGCAAAACTTCGAAAACCCTACTTCAAAGTAGAACTAGCATCGGTTCAACCCCGTTGAAGAGGATTACATTTCGTTCAGTGTTTCGGTTGCAGTGCAGAAGAACTCTATAAACTACATTTGTTTCAGGAGAGATATACATAGGCCACAAGGACTGATCGACTTGGGCTTGTCTAAAAAGGATACTGTTGTTTCCAGTTTTTGTGTAATGGTAGTGAAAAGAGTGTTGTGTAATGGTAGTTAAAAGAGTGATTTGTCATAACTCAAGTTTGTACTTTCTTAGGAGATTAGACCTCAAGCATTTTTGGAGCTCACAAGTATTTCATTAAAATTCAGCAGGAACCTTTAGGAATCATCATGATAGGAACTTACCAAGAACATTAAGAAAATCCTAAACTTCATCAGTAGAAGATGATAATTCTTCCAAGGATTTATTAAATCATAAATACACTCTCCGGTACAGTCTTGAGTATATGGAGACTGTTTCAGAATTGAATGAGAGACAAAAGATGCAACGGTAAAGAGGAGAAAGGTTTTGTTGTTCCACACCGCGAAACGAATTACAAAAGGGAACGTTTGAAGAAGATACAGAAAGAGTAGCCAGGTTCTTACTCAAATTTGTGCATTGGTTTCCTAGTTGGAGGACATGGGTTCTTGTTTGAGTAGATGGTTCCTACTCTACCTCGCTTAGGATAGGGACAATGAGAGGCTTCATCTGTGCAATGTATACAATTGCCCACCTGCCAACGTGAAGAAACATAAAACGATGCAATGATGTAAGATAACAAATCAATCGTATTAAAGGACATTTGCGCAATACACAGGAAAAAGTTGGACATTCATCAGAGACTAATAATGTTCATGTTGTGGAACTTCTCTAACATGAATGCTAATTCATCGACTTCAGATAAGTTTTAACAGATAAATAACTGCTCTCCGCCGCCTAGAGCTGTTGAGATATTACTTTGTTCTATCCACAAGAAAATGGAAGTAGTAAAGCCTAGAAGGATCTCTCTCTTACTTGATGGTTTGATGTTTATCGAGGTGAGAAAAGGCGAAAAATATAATTGGCAGGATACCAGAAAAAGGATGAATCATGGCTATAAATGCAAAGCAGTGGCTTCTATCC